GCTTATGTATATGCCTATATTCGATTTTATACACAGTCAAAGTCTAGCTCAGCGCTGTGTTCTGGGTATATTCTAGTCGAGCACTCCTCACTAGATTACTTTAAATAGCAGATCTAAAGACTTTTCTTTCATACAATAAAGGTATGTTAAGAAATTAAACATTAAGATCAGTAGGACTGCTTCAGTTGGGACAAACCGACTTGTTAATCTCCTGAATCTACGTTTTATTTAAATATGCATGAGAAAAAGCACAGACATATGTATATATATACCCATATTTACAGTGGGGCAGACAAACAGAAGGACGGGCAGATGGACAGCAAGACTGACAGATGCACAGAGGAAGGGAACAGAGATGAATAGGTGGAAGGACATAGGGGTGGGCAAGGATACAGACAGACCCACATGGCTAAGTCTATTCAGATCATTGATCTAGCAAGATATATTATATATATATTTGATATGATCCTGCCCTGCCCTCCTCCTGCCTGCCAGTCTTATCCGTTTATACAAAACCATTACACTCCGAGTTCCTCCTATCTCCCACTGAGATGTAAAATATTGAAAACCAACTAGAGTCTGGCCCGCTTCAACTAGCATATGCCTACAAAAGTAGTTAACATTAGAGCAAATCCCACATGATCCTTGTGCAAGGACTCGAAGACTACAGCCATTTTATGGCTCATCACTGCTGGGCCACTTCTAATCCCCCCAGTCGAAAATCCAATCATCTCGAGTCAGTTCAATGCGCTACTTTATCTGCGGTCCGCTTGACCCAATGCACGGAGCATGGAGCCAAAACTAGTTCGCTTCCGCCGGAGGCTTAGGCGCGCTCTGGTTGTTGTTGTTGTCGACTGCCCAATTTGTTGTTTATTTCGTTTTTATTGTTTGTAGTTGTAGTTGTTGTTGTAGCTGTTTTTTATGTGCGGACTATTTACTTGTTCATCACTTACACGCTAGGGTAATTTAAAACAAATGCCCCACCAAATCGCATTTGGCTTTGGCTCCACTTGGCTTCTCTGTTTTTTTATTCCCCTCCCCGTTTTTTTTATAGCTCGCATATGCAGCGGCAAATTTTGTTCATCCACAACAATTTGGCATGCTATTTGTATTGGCTGATGTTAATGCCGGCACCAAATCCCCGAACACGACGGGCGGCATGTTGAGACCAGGTCTGATGCAAAGCCTGCGCCTGATACATGGCCTGGGCCATGTAACTGATCCAAATTGCAGCCGCCGGCTTGTCGGTTGTCGTTGCTCGTTGCTGCTCTCGTTGTTGTTGTTGGTATTGGTGTTGCAGCTGTTGTGTTTTTTAATAGACACATTAAAAAATAATTTAACAGACAAACAGCCGCGCTGCTGCTCACACAAACTGCCCGTCATTGCATTGAATAAATCATAAATCATTCAGCTTTTTGGCATACAATGAAAATAAACTCCGCCCCAAATGAAACGTACGATAAATAAAAAACAGCAAAAAAAGAAATATACATATATATATAAAATAATAAAAATCAACTTGTGTCCATATATACACACATATATATATTGAGAAAGTGTATGACGTTGAGCATCGGTTGATGGTTGCCATTGCCACGTCGCCATTAAATGATTCAATGCTACACATGATGCACAGGTTGCGCCAATTTGTTGCCCCATCTCAGACTTCGGCTCGTTCACGTCCAGGTCCACCTCCATGTCCACGCCCACACACAAAACGCACACACACACGCACTCACACACACAAAGAGTTTTCATGCTATATGTTCGCTTTTTACACATCATAATTTTTTATGCTAGTTGACTTTTAGCCGCTCTTGTTGGCACCTTCCTCTGTTGTTGTTGCTGTTGTTGTTGTTGTTTTTTTTTTTTCTGCTGCTCTGCCGAAAACCTTTTTGTGCAGTCATTCATTTTGAAGCGAGCGCCGGGACAACACCGAAAAGTTGTTGCCATGTTCAAATTAATAAACGAGTAACTGACAAAAAGGTAATTTATTATTTTATACATATTTGACAAATTAATTTAATGACGCGACACCTCGCTCACTCACACACACACACTGAGGCACAGACATACACACACGCATGTCCCGCTGGGAGCCCATGTGTCGTAAAGCCCCCCCTAGCTCAGTCCATTTCTCGTTTGGCGCTGCCGCCACACATAATAATTTCTCATTTAATTTTTCAATTTTAAGCGTCATTTACACATGCCATGCCATGACAGAGCTTGGTCCAGATCCCAGCTACCCTCGCCCGCCTCCTGCTCCTCGCTCTGGCACTGCCACTGCCACTGGCTTGTTGGCGGCCTGGCTTGACTGCTGCCTCTGCTCTGCTCTGGTCTGGTTTGCTTTTTTTTCTTTTGCATTTTATATATACATTTGTAGACTTGTGTGAGCGCGCATGAATGTGTGTGTCAGTGTGTGTGTACTTTGTATTAAAAGGTAATCATCGAAAACAGCAACGGCATGCAGTTTTCACACTGTTGTTGTATTTTGTATGCCTGTCATTAAGTCGTCAGCGGGCATAACAAGAACCTGAACCGCACGCAGTAGCAGCACATCAGTAAAAAAACAAAAATAAGAGAAAAAGAGGGCAAACCAGACTGCTGCCAGGACGCAATCAGTCGCTCACTCCAAGCCGGTGACGCATGAGTAACAAGTAAGAAGGCTCCAGTCGAGACTGCTCGACTAGGAGATACCCTGAACCCTCTAAGCTGATATTCTAATCATTCTGCACTTCTTTTATGCACACATACATACACATGCATTCACACGCACGCATAAGCCTGCGCTCTGCTAACTGCGCAGTAAGCAGCGACTGCGCTTGGGCTGCGCTGCAGTGTGAGCAATATTATGAGAATTTATTTGTTGAATAATTTCTTTTGTAAACATAGGATCTTAATAAAACTTTCAGAGCGTATTCATATGGTGAATATGTGTGTACATTTTAAAGCACAAGTCTCTAGTACTTTAAATGCGTTTTTTACAAATTGGGGGCGAAGGGGGCGTGGTATCCAAAATCTGTAAATGACAAAATCTTTGTATCCATTAACTTTATATACAACGCAAATTTGAAGACTCCAGGTCTAAAAGTGTTCAAATTAGGCTAAAAAAACAAAATCAATTTTTCGATTATTCTCGATAAAAAAGTTATCGGATGATTTATCGAAAAAAATAAAGCAAACTCGTACTGCGTATGGTACACACGAGTATGCATGCCAAATTTCAGCTCTCTAGCTCTTATAACTTCTGAGATCGACGCACTCATACGGACGGACGGACGGACGGACGGACGGACGGACAGACGGACAGACGGACAGGGCTATATCGACTCAGCTCATCGCGCTGATCAAGAATATATATACTTTGTGGGGTCTGCCACGCCTCCTTCTGCCCGTTACATACTTTTTCACAAAACCATTATACCCTGATTTCCCATTTTCAATGGGTTCAGGGTATAAAAATGAGCAGGAGTCGAGGCTGCTGCAACTGATGCTCGAGACGTGTGGCTGCTGGCGTGGTACTTGGTACTTGAACATGTTACCGTTGCACCTGAAGAGCTCGCACCTTAATGGCACTAGAATCAGTTTTCATTAACGAAATGCAGCGCCAGTGGCCAGAGCTGCGCGAACACAAAATACAAAATAAAAAGCACACGAGTGTACAGGAGAAAAAGACTGAACCACATGCGTGCTGGCATATTTCGCGCTGCTGCTGCTGCTGCTGGCTGCAGCGGCTTTGGCAATTAATAAAACACACACCTTCAGTGAAGCAGCAGCAGTGGTCGAGTGCATATACATATACATATGTACATATATATATATATATTTATGAGTCTGGCTTGCCCCAGGTATTACTCTCTTGGCCATGGCATTGGCGCTGAGGCTGAAACTGAAGCTGAGGCTGAAACGGATGCTGATGCAGTCATTGGCGCGCTGACTGCTGCTGCTTTTGGAATTCGGTGTTAAAAATTGAATTTTAAAATCTCAAACGATGCAAAATATTTCACACGCACACACATACACGCACACACAGCCAGACCCACTGGCTGCTGTGCTGAGATTTTTATATAAATCACATTTACCAACGAAAATATAATAAATAATACATACGTGTGTGCGTATGTGGGTTTGTGTGCGTGCGTGCATGTGTGTTTGTGTGTGTCTGCATACATCTACCACAACACATACATAAATCTTTCAGTTTGGATTTTCACTTTGGTGGCATAAATTGACACTGGCGTCCAGCGTGTACAAAGTCACAGTCACCGTCACAGTTGTACTAGCAGTCACAATTGCAGCTGCAATTCGCAGTCGTCGTCGTCGTCGCCGTTGCCGTCGGCATCGCCGTTGCGTTACCCGCCGCAGCCACATTTGAAAACCACGCTTGAAAGCATGCAGCGTCCATCCGGCCGGTTTTGGCTTCAGCTTCGAGTGCAGCAGAGTTCGCTGACAGTAAAAACTCATTTACGCGAAATTAAATTAAAAGTTAATTAACGCTGTCAATGTGCAAAGCACTCCACTTGGCCAGCCAGCCAGCCAGCCGGCCAGCCAGTAAACTGGCAAACAGGTAAACAGTTAACTATGCCAGCAGCTACCTGGAAAACTTTTGCCGGCCAAGTTGCAAAAATCTGGGCAAGTAAAGTTAAGCATATGCCCGCTTCAAATTGATGAGAACTGGTTTTAAATGTTGGCCTGACAATTTAAGTTTGCAAGGCCATCGCTGCGGCCGGCTGTCTGGCCGGACTGTTAATGCGGCATGCCCGGCAGCTATGTGCACTGCGCACAGTGCGTATGGTTAATGTGACATGACCAAGCTGTCTCTGCGTCTGTCTCTCTGCCAGTGTCAGTGTCTGTGCCTGCGCCTGTGTCTGTCTCTGTGTCTGTGCCTGTGTCTGTATCTGCGTCGGCACGCTCGTTTGTCAGACTGTTTGCCATGGCAAAATCAACAACAAGATGCAACATGCTGATAATTAATTTTTAATTAAAGTCGACAATTAGAGATGATGCGACATGGCATTCAATTGGAAGCAACTGCAAGTGAGTTACTGATCTCAGCTGACAGCCTGCATACGGAAAACTATTCAAGGAATTTGCATTTACTCAATGGATGGATGGAAGCTCCTGTGCTCTGTGCTAAATAACTCATAAATAATTAGCAGATATTTCAGCAATTATATTTTAATTTAATTTAATATATGTATGAAAAGCATTTTTGAGATTTATGAAACTGAGTACTTAATAAAAATAAAATCATCATAATCAATTTTAATGGCTATTGAGTGCTAACACTTAAATTTAATACGAACTAAACTGATTAGGATTCACATCAAATGCACTGCTGCACAGAGAGGACATTCATTGTATTAGTCTTTCCACTGCTCGGCAAATATGCATCCCTAGTGGTCCTCTAGAGCTCTTTGGTTCAATGAAGCAATCATTTATAGCATCTTATGCTTTGCATGAGTGTCTATGCGCTGAGGATCCACATATTCATTCCTCATATTCAATTGAAAGACAATCGTTGAATTCTTATAAAAAAAAAAATAAAGCAGCTAAGTCGGCAGATTTATTGCTAAACAAAAGGAACGCACTATCATAATAGCAATTCAGAATTGACTGAAGTTCTGGGAATTGGGAGCACAGGAAATAATTAGCTGCGCATTAATATAACAGCAGAGCAATAAAGATTAAGGTTCTTGGAATTATTATCACAAGAGATAAATAGCTACGGGGACGCATGCTTCTACAGTTGTAACGGCTCAATTTCAACAATGGCATCTCAAGTGTGGACTACAGTATTAAGTTTATAAATGACTACAAATATGACACGCAACACTTACAGAGTACAAAACCAACTGAACTTTGACACATGTTCCACGTGCCGCAGCTCTGGCTGTATGTGATTTTTCACTGTCGAAAACTCAACTTGTTCGGGAGAAAGTTCAACAATTTCGCACGTTTCAATGCTGCAAAGGAAATACTATGAACTATGCATAACAGATTCGTCAATAGACATCAAGGAAGCATAAGAATTATTTGGAGTTAAATACAATCATAGTTGTATTTAGTCAGCAGTTAGCAGACATTTTTGTAAATTGGTAAAAGGAGTAAAAGGAAAATTTGATTTATTAATTTAATCTTAATTTATCTATTTATTATACAAAAATAAATACCATGTCGGGTGTCTTGGGTGAAGTGTCCGACTTCGGAGACGTTTGACACTTCAGGTTATCTTATATGTTATACCTTGTAGCAATGCATTCAAAAATAATCAAAAAGTTTATATATACATACAAAAATAAAAATAAATAAATTAATAAAAATTAATAAATAAATAAAAAAAAAAAATAAAAAAATTAAATTAAAAGGTGATCTGTCTATCTATTTCTTTATTATAATGCATCTCATATAGCATATTATAATATGTATATATCCCATGTAATTTTTACCTAAACATAGTATTTGATAATAAAATTCAATATAAAGTACATTTGGCAAATAAATATTTAATCTACATAATCATGCCATTTGCCATATGTTATCGGAGAGCTAACAAGTGCTGGCAGTCAATGGGTTTGCCGAACTCACATAATGACAGCTCACATTGGGCCTGTGCGCGATGTGGCAATAAAAATAAATAAATATAAATATACTTGTAGATTGGCAATTGGAAGTGCACTCTTACGGCCAATTTTGTAACGAAAATTAAAGATAACATAAATGTGCCGGGGCTGACATGGTGCAAAGCAATGCGGCACGCCACGCCATGCTGCCAGTTTGAGTCGCAGCTGCCGCTGCCGCTGCTGTTGCTGTTGCTGCTGCAGTTCAAGTTGCAGTTGGTTGGATTCCGTGCCGGCACATCAATGTCGTCGCAATGGCATGCTATTTGAATTGAACAAGTGTCAGCGTCAAGGGTATATAGTGTTGCCAGAGTGTATGTGTGTGTGTGTGTGTGGAGTGGAGTGGAGTGGCCCTTTTGGCCCGTTTGTCCGCTGGGCCTACTCATGCTGTTGCCAGTTGCCAGAGAATTGTATTTGCATGTACTGTCGGTGCATAAGGACGACAATGCTCTCAAAACTCAAAATATTAACACTTTAACGCCAAGTTTTTTATCCGGCTGCCGGAAGCAGACAACACAATGCACCCACACACACACACCCACACATACATACGCCAACACACTCGCAAATAAAGTGTGGCGGCCGTTACGGTGGCAAAACGCCATGTTGGATTATTCAACTCGACGCCATTTCGCGTCACAATGCGCGCTATGCGCCGCCATCATTGCACTCGACAGCAAACGGCAACGGCAGAGGCGGCCAACGCGACGGATGAAGTTGCAATTCAAAGTCATAAACACGTGCAGCGTGGGCGCAAAGTCGCAGCTAAGCTGCAAGCTGCCGCTGCCACTGACATAAGCAATAGCAACAACAGCGCTGGCACTTCCTGTGACTGCAAAACAGCAAGGGAAGGCAGACCGACCGAGTGAGAGGGGGATAGAGCGGGAGAGCTAGAGCGAGCGAGCATTAGATAGACATTGAGTGAGAGGGCGAGCAGGAGCCTAGCGTGATCCCCACAATGGCTGGGAAACGCTGCCCTTTTGTTTCCAAGCCATTTTGTTGCCGACGCGTCGCGTCGCTGTTCGTTTTTCATTTGCATGCAAAATTCAAACATCAGCATAAAAATGCAATTTTTATTGCTCAACATTTCTCAACGCCCGCTGCAAATATTTTCGCGGGTTTTTATTATTACCATTTTTTTTTATTATTATTTTTTATTTTTTTGTTATTTTTTATTTTTGCGTACTTTCTTTCTGCTTCTGCTATTGTTGTTTGTTTGATTCGGCTGTTGCTGTTGCTGCTGCTGCTGCTGCCGCTGCCACTGTTGGCTGTGGCTCATATTTATTTTGAGTTTTTATTTCTGGCCCACAGCATGCACACCGTTGTACTGGCCGCGGGCCGTCGTCGTCGCCGTCGCCATCGCTACCGCCTACCGCCTCCTTTATGAGCTGCACTTTATGAAAATGCAGTTGCCCCATCCGCTGGCAGCAGTTGCCATCGTTGCCATTCCCATCGCAGCGCTGCCCGTTGCTTCGAGTACATTGCAAATATTTTATTATTGCGAAATTCTGCCAACTTATCCCGTGCGCATGTGAATCTTAGTAGAGCTTGAGCTGGTCTCTCTGCCGCTGCCGTTGCCACTGCCATTGCCGTTGCCGTTGCCGCTGACGATGCCGCTGCCTGAGAGCGCCGCAAGGCAGCAGGAAGGATGCAGCAAGCTAAAAATAATATTTCGTTGCAATTGCAGTTGTTTTGCTTTGTTTGTGTTTTTGTTTGTTTTCATATATTTTTGCCTTCGTTTTTTTTTTATTTTTTGTTTCTTGTTTTTTTTGTTTGTCGGTTCGTTTAGTTGAAATTACGTTTTGTGTGCCACTGAATTTCATAGCAGGAGCCGTGGCAGCGGCAACAGAGGCAACAACAACTTGAGCCGAAAAACTTGCTTTCGGTTGTTATTATTCTTGCGTTTACTCCCGGCAAATTTGCCGTGTGCCGCCTTGCCCGCCTGCTTGCTGTTTTTGTTGCTGTTGTTGTTGTTGTTATGGACACCACCACAGCAGCAGGAGTAGCCGAAGCAGCACCATTGCATTCCGTTACGGCACGAGCCTCAGCTGCGGCAGCACAGTAGCTCCTGCTTGTGTTTTGGCTTGGATTATTTTTTTTCGTGCTGCCTTTTTCCAACATTTTAACTTCCGCTCAATTTACCTTTAGGCCAAGTAATTTAAAAGCTGACGTGTTTGTACAACTACAATTTCGACTCATGTTACAGTTGCTGTTGTTGCTGCTGTTGTTGTTGCTATTGTTGGCATTGCCTGTGTATAGCACTTCCTGGTGTAGATTTTTGCTAGGTTTGCCGCTTGTTCTGCTTCTTGGCTTTTGCTGTTTTCTTATAGTTGTTTTTCTTTTTGTTTTGGTTTTTCTTGCTTCTTTTTTTTTTTTTTTTTTTTTTTTTTGAAAATATTTAATAGAAGAGAAACAAAATTTGCTGCTGCTCTGGCGTATATTTTGTTTATTTGCCCTCCGTTTGACTGCCACTTGTGATAGTCAAGTTTTTGATGGGCCCGGGTCTCTAAAAGCCAAGTCAGCCAAAGCTGTTAAAACTGTTTGCCTTGGCTAATAGTTGGCAAAGCAGCAGGCACCAAAGGTAAATATTAATTAAAGTCGATAGTAAATGGTCCAAAAACGTTTTCTTCTGTTTTTCTTTGGTGGTGGTAGTGGTGGTGGAGGTGGTGGTGGAGCTGGTGCTGCTGCTGCTCCTTTTCCTGTTCCCTCTGTTTGACATGTGAGCACGCAATTTCCTTGATTGGCCACCTTCATTGATTGAAGGCGTTCGCTAAGCTGTCCAACTCGAAGGATATGCATAACGTATCAAAAAACGTAGCATACTATTTGGGACAGAACTTTCTTTACGCGAACAGCAACAGGAGTGTCTCTGTGTGCGTGTGCATGTGAGTGTGCGCGCGTGTGTGTAAAAGCAGTTAACGCTATTGTTTGTATTACAGTCTGGGCCAGCCAGCAGTCAGGCAGTCAGGCAGCCGGGCAGCCGGGCAGCCAGCATCCAGGCATTGCCGCCACTACTCCACAGCTGGCTGCCAGGCAAGCTAACGAGTCTGTTAGCCAGCCCGCAGCCACAGGCAGAAACTGGAGGAGTGGCCACAGCGCCAGCGTCAGCTACAGCTACAGCTACAGCTTCAGTTTCAGCACCAGATTCAGTTTCAGCTACAGCTACAGCCATGTGCTGCTGCTGCTGTTGCTGGAGCTGCATTAAGTGAAGTATTGTTTCTGCTAGATTAATCCTGTTTTAATTAAATATACACGCTGGCAGCACAAACCAACAAGACCGTTGACTCTGCCGCTCCCTAGCAAAAAATGGAAGAAAAGGCTGGAATATATTGCCAGCCGCAGTCCGCAACCCACACACACATACACACACATATACACACATACAAACACATACACACACACACAGATCGCAGTCAGACGTAGTCCATGGTCCTCAGACCTCAGCGCTCTGCCCGTTTCCCACAGAGCGTTCCACACAGCCCAACAACACATTCGACTTCTGACGTCATGCAAATTTGTGCGCTGGCGCTCCACACGGTTTGACAAACTGACTTGACTGACTGAACGAGTGAGTTGAGTGCGGACCAGAGTGCAGCGCCAGAGCTGCCGAAAGCAGTTGCCGCTGCAGCAGCAGCCCATGTGAATGGGTGCATTCGACCTAGGTTTATTTATTTATATTTTCATGTGTTTCCAGCGCTTGAAGCTTTCGTGTTTTTCTTCATTTTAAGAAAACGAGAAAATACAAACAAGCTCGAGAAGAAAACGAAAAACTCTGACACACACACACACACACCCACACTGCTCCTGCCAAGGCAGCCTCTTGCGCACCCATCAGCAAAAAACATCCAGAGCTTCTTTGCCATTTTTGTAGTAAATTAAAAACGCAGTGGTATTTTATAAGTGCTTCCAGAAATAACTAAGAAAATAGAAGCAAAGAAATGAGGAAAATCTCAGGTTGCTTTATGGCGACTGCCAGCGTTTGTCATGCATTCAGCATTGTGTTGCTCTCGAAAGCGTCGACTTGCGCCTGACTGTGCTTAGTTCGAGGTGCTATTTCAGCTCTTGTCAGGAGACTTACAATCAAGCTTAAGTGCACCTTGCATTTTCAAGTTAAATGAAATGAAGTAGAGTTTGTGCGAGATTTAAAAACATATATATATCGAAGAGGCGATGACTGAATTACAGAAATTAAAAGTTAGGTTGAGACAAGTATATTAAATGTGTTCTAGTCGGAGTCAGAGTGGCAGACTGAGGGCGGGAGTAATCAAGCTGAGATATAACCTGAATATCCTCTGGGCTATTATTTCACGATTTGACAAAGTTCAAGAGGTTATTTGACAGACTTTAAGTCAAGATTCGATTGAGTGGATCTTGTTGAGGTTGGCGTCTCAGTCTTACTCGTCCCTTGGGCTGCAATACCTAGCCATGCCTAGCCAGATAGTTTGGCTGAAAATCTAGTCTATCTGGATCTTTTTAACCAACTATTAGATCTCAAATTCTCAAGTAGCATCGATTCGTTTAATGATCTTCCTCAGCCTGACTCAAGTGCACGATTAGTGAAGGTCACATTTGCATAAATAAATGGCAATATTCCAGATCAAATCTCCATATATGATAAGTCTTCTAGGCAATGTTTCTGTGAATAATTTGCATAATAACACTTTAATGCTCATCTATCTTAAGAGGTAATTATTAAATTAAAGCATAATGCTGCTTGGATGAGCATGATTTCGTTTAGTGAGCAGATTTAATACGCACATATTTGATGCACATCTCGAATCATCTCTGCAAATCTTAAGTTCTATTACTGCGTAAAACTTTGCCATCTTAAATCTAACCTGAGGAATGCATTGAGCAAGTTTACAGTTTACGCTCGGCTGCCTTTCACTTTTGAGTACCTTTTGCCGCTGCATCGTCTCCAATTTGGGCTCTCTTTGCCCTCAATCGCTTTGTGGCCTCATACAATTCTGCATTGCGTTCTTAAAAGTGTGTATGTGTGCGTAATACATACTGTATAAGCACACACACACACACACGCACAGAAAGAAACCCACATGCATAACCACACAAGTGTGTGCGTGTGTAAGTGAACAGAAATGTAAGTGTGCATCTCTGGTGCATACTTAAGTATGTGTAAACATATGCCCTGCCGCAAGTGCCCATTAAATTTGGTCCTTAATATTCGTATACCACATCCATATGCAGAATACACATACATACGTATATGTATATTTATATATAAATAACTCTCTCTCTCTCTCTCCCTCACACCCTTGTTCTTCAGCTCTCTTATTTTACATTTTGAATCATGTATGAATTTGAGCTCAGTGTTTGTTTTTAAGCTCTTACCAGGTCTTATATGCCGGGCTTGAGTAAATTACAAAAAAAAAAAAATAAATAAATAAAAATGAAATCATCTTCAACTGCAGCACTTTCAGAAATTCTATTTGCTCCTTTTGGAAATATGACATCTATTTGTTTATAGTGTAATTATAAGCCATTCACAGAGCTGTGCTGAAAATAAAACCATCTAGTTGCATCTGCACCTGCAATTGATTGTATGTATATACGTACATATTTGCTGTTGAATTGCCAATTGGCAATTTGTTTGTGTTGTGTTACTTTTGGGTGTTACTGTGCTTCTATTGCTACCGAAAATTTGGCAAACTGCAAGGTTTTTGCAAATATCATTTATTAGTTCGATACGGTATACGGCGCTACATCGATGTAGTCAGTTAGAATAAAAATCAAATGCATAAATTCAAATAAAAATGCCCAATGCAAAGAATATGGCACGTCGAAGACTAAATGCTCTTGACGAAATTACATTTCCTAGTAAACTTGAAATTTGTGTTCTGAATGGTATACATAATTATATATATAATCGTACATATTTTATTATATATTTAGAGAGAGACAGAAAGAGAGAAAGAGAGAGATCTTAAACCATAATTTTGATCGACATTTCATTTTAAGTTTACGAATTTTTTATTGTAGCATTTTTATTTGTAGCTTATATACTGATATTAAATTATTTTATTATTTTTAAAATTTATTTGATTATAATACACTGCTTAAAAATTTTCGATAATATTTTCATTAATAAAATATTTAGTAAAATTATCAAATGACTTCTCGTTCAGTTAGTCTAAAAATTTATTAATGTTTTTTTTTTTTATATATGTGTTTTGGAATTCTCTAATACTCTAATTGTCTGCTGGGTCCTTTAGGTTGTCTGAGTCATCTCCTAGCTCTAGTGCGAAGGACTCGCAGATCCAGGTGCTGCATTATCTGGAGTCCAGTTCCGATGGACTTGTAACAAAAAGCTTAACAATTTACTGATGTTTGTTTTTCAATATAAACTTAATAGCATAATATTGAAAAATGTGTACCAACAATATGAGCTTATTCAGCAAGAGCAATATTTTTGCAGCTACGTTCGTTTGGTGCGAAATCAACTGCAGAATAATAGAAATGATTTAAAACTCTGTTTGATTCGTGATATTTTATATGCAAGCATATTTTTATTATTATTTGTAATTATACGATTTTTGTTTTATATCAAATTTATAAATAATGGATTTAGTAATTTTTATTCAAACAGTGAGGATATTTTTTTTGTTTGTTATATAGTTATAGCTACCTTAGTCACATGCATAAAATGAAATGCAAAATAAAAATGGGGAAAACAAAATGAATAAATAAATGATTTTGACATAGACACTGACACACACACTCACACACACACATGTGCATATTTTTATATGTATGTATGTATAGTTGGCATAAATGTAAGTGCCTGCAATATCTATTAAAACGTTACCACTGAAAAATCGCACTGTAAATTGCATGTGCTTTAGCTATGTAATAACCAAAATTGATAACAATCAATATGGACATGTGCAGGTGTTGTTGCTGTGTGGCATGGCGCGGAGTGGGGCGGAGTGGGGCGAAGCGGTGCGGAACGGAATTGTCGCCGACATGCGGCCCGCAACAATGTACGCCGCACACCTTGTTGTCGGCGCTTAACCTGTCATTGTCAGTTTGGCCTGCTCCAGCTGACTGGCTGACTGGCTGACTGCCTGCATGGCCATAAACCTAAAGTGCACGCATTGAGTTCTGATTGCCTCGCACACATACACACGGACAGGGCACACATATAATGCAGGTGGGAGCTTAGTTTAGTTCAGAATGCACTTAAAATTTAATTTAAATGTAAATTTGTGCAACGAAATGTGTTGTGTCGAAAAAATGTTTATGTAAACAGTGTAAGTGAACAATAACAACAACAACAACGTCAGAGGGACGAACAACAAAGGCAAGAGGCAGAAGCAGCAGCAGAAGTAGCAGCAGGAGCAACAGCAGGAGCTGGCGCAGTAGTAGCAGCAACAATGGCAATAGAAAAAAATAAAAAACGCGAAATAGAATGCAAATGCAAATATTGGCAACAGCGACCAAAAAAGTGTGTAAGCTGCTGCCTGGCTGGGTGCTGGCGAAAATAAGAGGAATTTATATGCAGATGTGCAAACATTTTGCACCCTATTCGCGTCGACATTGCTAGCAAGAGGAAAAGCAAATGCAAGAGCAACAGCCACAGTCAGTCAGTCAGTCAGTCGAAGAGTCGAAGAGTCAGAGAGTCAGTCAGTCCGTCGGTCGGTCCGTCTGTCGGTCGGGTCTGGCACTGCCAGCATGTGCGCACTCATTTCGCAGGTTTTTGGCGGGGCGCGTAGCATGCGTGAAATTTAATAAAGCTCAAGTTGGCAGCACAAGGAGTTGTCGGACGCGCTCAAAGACGATTTTGCAGTTGCCGCTGCCGTCGCCGTCGCCGTTGCCGTTGATGTTTATTAAATTTCATTAAATTGCGTAATTCTTGACGCTAAAGTTGCGTCGCAGCTGCAGCACCCACAGCGACATTTTCAAATGCAATTCGGAACAACTTAAAAAGCGAGCGCGCCGCAATAAAAATGTCTGCTGCGGCACCCCGTCATCCATTTCCGCTATTGCTGCTGTGTAGCTGTGTAATTGTGTGTGTTGGTGTGTGTGTGTGTGTCTGTGTGTGTTTGCACCCCTGCAGCGCTGTTTTCACATTGTTGCTTCACACTAATCTTCTGTCAATGCAACACGAGGACGAAAGCGACAACAGCTTGCAAAGACCTATGCATGTTGGTGCTGTTGATGCTGCTGTTGCTGCTGTTGCTGATGCTG